GAGGCTAGTTTTGGGGACTTTGTGGACAGATGCAAATAGACATGGATGAGTGCTTAACTAAGAAGAAACATCTTTATAAGTACCGGTGGTGGTTTGGGGTTTTTTCCCCAAGCTTTGCACATAGCGTAGGAACAGCGCTGAAAACTCAGCAAGTTCTAGTTTATTGATGTGTGGGAATGCTTTTCCATAGGAAAAGACTTGTCTCAGGTGTAATGGACCCATAAATACAATTAGTGCTGTAGAGCTAAATGTTCCTGTGAGGAACTGAGTTGCTATGCAGCAAGTAACCAGTTGTTCCTACTGTAATGTTTACTGATTCGTTCTTCCCATATTTGCAAAATAATGTTTTGATACAAAAAAAAAATAAATCCCTAAAGCAATGCATAATGTATCCTTAACTTATAAAGTATTCAGATATTAATCATTCAATTTATTTGATCAGTGACTGTCAGCAATTTTTTTTTAGAGGACATTTAAATTCTTCATTTAGATGTTCAAATCACCCCAGAAGCTGAGCACATTTATGTAAAAGAACTGAACTCTCTCCAAAGTGCCCATGTGTGAAATCTTGGTATGTTAAACATTTCTGGCAATTTGATTATCTAATTGTTTTTAATTAGTGCTTGTTCTAAGCCCAACCACTGTGAGTGTTAAAAAGTTAAATATCTGAAAGCTTGACGCCTCAATCAAGTACAAATGTTAAAGTGGAGAAAACATCACTTAACATCAGTGTCAGAAACAAGTCAATTATGTTGCCTGTGATGAACAGCCATTCTAGTACTGCCTTTCTAGAACAATTTCCATACGAGGAGTTTCTTTCAAGTAAATCAAGCAGCAAGGCATCTAAATTAAAATCTTCATTAGTACACTTCAATTAATTCTTTTTAGGACTATTTTAGGGCTGTTGACGTGAACTTAATATTGGGAAGTTTGTGATTTTCTGCAGTTTTGTGGCTGCAAGATTTGTAATTTAATAACAATTCAATCATCAGTGTTTACTGAACATGTACCCTGCATAGCATAATATTAGTACAGCTATGCTGTGTGGATTAATACTTTAGGTCAAATATATTAATAGTCTCTCTTAAATCAGATAAAACTAAAACTTCAGGTCTGAAGAAGCTGTATTTAGTGTGCTTTGTAAAATCCCTCTTTTCATATGTATCAGTTTTTAATGAAACCTTCCCATGAAAGGAGAAGGTGGTGGCATTGCAGTTACGTTTGTCGTGTGTCTGTCTTTTAAGTGTCTGCAGCTCACAGTTGTTTATCACTGATTATCTCTACACTGATTATCAGGTTCTGTGTACTCTCTATGTTGGTTTAAGAGGCTTGCCATAGTTATAGAGCCTTTGATTCTATGGTAATGACTCAATATTTATAGCTGCAAGCAGGATAATGTTTATCCTATTTTTGCTACTGCTATAAATAACTATCTGCTTTGCTCAATAGCAACTCATTGGTCAAGCTGCACTTATAACCTGTCTTTTCTGCCTATAATTTCTTTTCACAAGAAAATGTTTTTACTTACCTTCTCTGATGTTGTTTCCAAGATGTGCAATATTTTTGAAAATGGAAGTTAAATCATACCTACAGGCAGTTAAATCAGAGCTACATTGACTCTACAAAACTGAAGGATAACTTTCAAATTACCTCATTAATCCACGTTGGTGGATTGTCTTACTCAAACAGCTGCCTTTCAATGCGTGACCTGTTGGCAAAAGAGGAGTTTGTAAATATAATAATTTTTGTTTTATGTAAATGAATTATAAATGTCAAAGTTTATTTTCTGGCAACAATATTATTAGACAATATTAATCTATTTATTTGATCAAAGCTAAACACATCTAGTTTTCTTCAAAAAAGTAAAAAGTTTTTGTCAAAAGCAAAAATTTATCAAAATTTATCAAGATTGCTCAGAATGCTGATTGTTTCTGCCTTTTTATTATCATAAGGAAGCAGTACCAGTGTTAGTTACCAAAAGGTGTGTCTAACTCCAAATTAATGTAAAGCACTTATTTGATCAGGATTAGATTTGACACTTAATTAAAAAGTAATATATTGCAACAATACTGCTCAAGTGGTCAACTACTGTGATTTATTGCAATACTGCACAAGTGGTCAACTACAATAAGTGATTACAGCTGGAGGAGGATTTTTGTTCTAAAGTAATTAATTTGTTTCTATGTGCAGGTTTAATTAATTCAATAATTTTGATTTACTTGTTCTCATTTCTAGGAATTTTTTAGACTTTTTAGTATTTTTTTGAATTTTAAAGATTTTTTGTTTGTGTTTTGTTAATTGATTACCTTGGCCTTCATTATGTTTATTCACTTAGAAAACTTTATGACATTGCTCATTCCCCCTGTACCTCGATGTCTGTACATACCAAATATTATATAAACTGCTGATTTTTTCAAAGGGTTTACCTATTTCTTCACATTACTGCTCAAACATTGTTTCAAACCAGACATTGTTTTCCATCTCCAAATGCAACAAATTCTCCTTGTGTATGCAGAATACAAAGAACCCTCTCTGTCTTTTCTGTCAGTAGATATGCATTATTAGGATAATAAGACAATATTTCTCTCTGTGTTCTTGTACTGTAAATCATGCTTTTTATTTCAATATCTAGAACTTTATAATAACTTGCTGCTCACTTATGTGTGGTGGATTGACGCTGGCTCGGTGCCACGTGGCTGCCAAAACTGCTCCATCGCTACCCTCATGAGCTGGACACTGGAGAAAAAGTGTGACTGAAGACTTGTGGGTCGAGATAAGGACAGGAAGAGATCTCTCACCAGTCACAGTCATGGGCAAAACAGACAACTCAGAGAAATTACTTAATCACAAATAAAATCAGAGTAGGATAATGAGAAAATAACCCCCTGAAATTTCAAAGCTTTCCCCCGACCCTTTCCTTCTCTGGTCTCAACTTCCTTCCTGGTTCTCTACCTCTCCCTCTCAGCTCCAGAGGGAGATGGGAATGGGGGTTGCACTCAGTTCATCACACATTGTCTGTGCTGCTCCTTCCTCCTCAGGGGGAGAGCCCTTCACTCTATTCCTCTGCTCCAGAGTGAGGTCCCTCTCATGGGAGACAGCCCTGGATGAGCTTCTCCAATGTCAGTTCATCCCACGGGCTGCAGTTTGTCACGAACTGCTCCAACATGAGTCTCTTCCTTAGGGTTCAGTCCTTTGGGAACCAGCTGCTCCAGGGTGGGTCACAAACCTGCTCTGGAGTGGCCTTCTCTCTCCCCAGGTCCACAGGTCCTGCCAGGATTCTGCTGCAGGGTGGGATTTCCACTACTGTTACTTTAGCTCTTTTACTTCTGGTTAAAGTATTGCAGAATTGCAGAGTGTATTGACTTCCAAACAAACTCGCAAAAAAATTATTTTTTTATCTCCTACACTTTACTAGGGAGTGAATAACACCCTGTTTCAAACACAGATAAAATTTCCTCATCTTGCCTTTGGTGATTTCAGAATTATGTTGCACTGGCCCCTATATGTTTTGTGAGGGCCTATGATAATAAATTTACTTCATATATAGGATAAAATCTTTATTTCATTACTGACTCTTAGCTGAGGATGCACATAACATGATTTGACTGCTGTGTAGTGAGGAGAGACTACCTGATCCTCAGCATCCTTATATTAGTGTAATGTAATGATGATGTGTTTTTTTTCCCTTTATGTACTCATACCAGATACACACAAAGCAGTTTACACCTAAACATAGGAGGAAGAAGTTATTTATGAATTAGGATTGTTTATAAATGTCCTTGGTTGTAAGGCCGTAAGCAAATATGAGTACTCAGTTGAAAATATTGAACATTCTTCGAATCATAAAGTGGAATGAATTCATAAGGTTTTGTTTAGGTACTAATGAACATTTTCCAGGAATAAGAAAAATCATGAGCAGAAGACTATTACACTCTTGGAAGATTCTCATGGGAAAAGCATAACAGTTGAATGAGCCAGAATTTTTCCAGTGCCGGGTGGATCTCTCTAAGTAATCTTTACTTGGTTGCTGTCTTTGGAACAAAGAAATCAGTTATATCAGTTGTCATAGCCACCAGGAACTCTCTGAAGACCTATTCCTGCTAAGCATTATAATCAGGTTGACAATTGAAAATCCTCAATTTCTTATCATCGTGTTTTAATTTCATCCTCACAAAATTTGGGGAAACTTACTTGAAATTGCTCTATATCTAGCATCTTTTTTTTTCAGAGAGTATTGCACCACAGGACAGTGAATTCAACTTTTTCAACTAGATTAAGACAATCACTTTTAATACATCCAGCTTTTTAAAAAGATTTTTATTAGAAGTCTGTGTTAAATGTCCATGTGGTAGCTTTTTAGGCCAGTGTAACTTGGAGGCTTTTGCCTAGACCATTTATGCCTTCTATTAGGCTTATTCAAGATTAGCCTATTTGTGAAGGAATTGTGTTTTTTAGTTCAGAATTGTGAGTGAAATCCAATGTTACTGAGTCATTGTTACTATAATTGTTTCTGAAATACAAATCTTTCTTGAACCCAATCTCATTATTTAATTCCATATTACCTTCCTATCCCAAATTTGTAAACTAAATTTTGGATTCATTTTTAATTATGGACATTTATACTTGAAAACATTACAAATAACATTTGCAATATAATTTAAATTAAAAATGCAATAGTGACCTTTTTTATTCTATGGAAAAATGAGTTTAATTAGTTTAATTATTAATGCATCATATTACCCATAAATGGTAAGTCCCCAGTTTGGTGCATGGTATTCATTTCTATACTTTTAAAGTATAACCATGGGAACTGTAGTTGTACTTCAATAAAGCATAACAACAGGAGTCAACTTTATGTATGTTTTATTATAAAACCCAAGAACACGTGATAACATTCTTGATCAAATCCCATCTTTTATTGAGTTTCTCACTACTACAGATATGGCAGGCAGTTGAAAAGTGCAACTTCAGATTCACTGAATATTTGCATTTCTTTTTAGATTACCGACATAATGGGAGAGATCTTCAAAGTTCAACACTATCAGTGCCAGAGCAAGTAATGTCATCTAATCATTGTTCTCGATCAGGGTCCCCTCACCGCGGAGATAGTATAGGACGGACTAGATCGTGGTCTCCCAGTGTCCCTCCCCCACAAAGGTAAACTCTTGTTTAACTATGCAGTTATATAAATTAAAGTGGTATTGATCTTGTACCAATACTGGAAATAATTTCCAGACTTTTAAAATGGAAATGAATTGGTTAGATCTTACAAAATTACATAAAGCCAATAATGTCTTTTTCTTACATTATAGTGATGTGCCTAATTTGTAATTCTATGTTATTTATGGTTTATTGTTATTATATTATTTATTATTATTATATGATTACATAATGGTATCTTACTTCTGCCTATTTATATCTAGTTTTCCACCAAAATTCAGTACAGTCCAATCTAAGGAAGGAAAAATCATCTCTCTGCATTTTCATTTTCTAGAGCTATTTACAGGTGCCATGTTTTATAGTATATGATAGTTCAATAATTCCTTATCATTCATATGACAGTGGATGTTTTCAACCCTTTTATTTCTGTAGAATTAAGGTTCTGGGGAGCCTCCCTGGCTACCCATAATATCTTCCTTTCTACTGTATTTTTCATACTTCTAAATCATCAAGAATAAAATGACAGACATACATTTTTATAGTGAAAGATGTCAACTCCTGATCTTGGAAGATCTCTGGTAACTATTTATCTTGAGAAAATTAGACCAGGAAATTTCTTCCATAAGTTAGTAATAATTGATTTGATACTCTGCATGATAAGGTTTTTTAAGAGGAAGGAAGCAGAAGGACAGATGTAAATGGGAATGAAACCTGTTTTTCAGTACTTTTGTTGCTATGTATGGGTAGGTTTCCAGATGATGTAATTCAGTTGAAATGAAAGTGGAAGTTATCTCTTTTGCCCATAATGTTCACAATTCCCTTTTAATACTGAAGATCTGTTATCCAATATTTCCTGGCAGGTACATGTTCCTCTCCCTTTCTTGCAGCCATCCTGATTCTCTTGTGTTCTGCTTTCCTTTCTTTTACCTTTGTTCTTTTTGTTAAGTTAAAATTCTCTTGACTTCATAATATCTTACTTATGTTTTTACTTACCATTTCCTCTAATGGATGTAGCCTATATGATATCCTTTTGCATTAGTGAGATATTAGGATTCCAAATCATCCCACATCATACAGCTAAGAGGCAGAAACTGTGTGTTTCTACTTGAAATCTAATCCTGTCTAAAACCAAGTCAGCCTGACTTGAAATGAGACATAAATGGTAGACAAAAAGAGGCCTATTCTGATTTTTACTATACTGATTTCAGTCTAAGTAATTTCATATGCTAAATCACCAGAATTTATTTGTCTTGGATATAGACATAAATGTGAGTGAAATATCTTTGTGTGTATGTTTGTGTTTTATGTTTTTCTGTCGGCATCCATGCTGTGTGCATTTTGGGCAGATCTTTTACCCAAGCTCGTAATTAACACTTGTTTAACATCATTGAAAAATCTACTTCTCATTTTCTTGTAGTCTTGGATTTCTTTACATACTCAAAATCTCTTTTTAGCTCTCCTAAAGCTAAATTTTTAAATATAATTTTAAATTTATTGCAGCTGTTTCCTACAATGTCAGAATCAAATGCATTATTTGCGTAATATTTCCCTGCCCACACACCAAATAAATCCTTTGAGGACTTACTGAGCTCAGAAAATTGGGTTATGAGAGCTTAAGGATTTGTAGAAGAGAAGTATAATCCATGGGTTATAGAAATATCTTTCCTAGATCTACTGAAAATGTAGGTGTACTCAGGAAATTTGTAAGAATTATCAACCACATTTGCACCCTGTTCAGGTGAATTTGTTATGCAAGTGCTGCATAACATGTGCTAACTGCAGTGAGCATTCTGCATGCCCAGAGATTTCCCATTACTGACACCTCTGCAGGCAGGAGTTTTTGGGCCATGGTATTTCTTAGAAACCATTTTGCAGTCCTCAGTCTTACTTAATTTTTCAACAAACTCCATCAAAGGCCCACTGCACCTTAGCTGACAAGAAATTGTTACTGCTCTTGTTATTCTTTACTAGCCAGGGTAAACTTAATATTCGGACTCATGAATGCCAGAGTGGAAAACACTTTATAACAGATGAGGTGGAGCTGAAGGCAAAATTTTATGTGTAATGCAACACCTTTATAGCACTTATATGCAGAAATAAATAATGTCATGGCAGCAGCAGTAAAGGATACATGTACAAGTTAACACTAGTCAGAAACTGCTGAATGACAAACAACAAGTATGACAAGTACCGAAAGGGCAGACAAAATGACATAAGAATTTACTGATCTAAAACTTGAGGGAGAGCATTCAATTTGTTATTTTCAAATCGATACAAAAAAATTATGTTTTCATTATCCAGTAATTGTTACAGTTAACCATTGTCTCCTGTTTTCCTATTCTTGTGGGTTTTACAGAGCACGAAAAGTAAAGTTAGTGTGTGTCAGTAGGTATTGATAGATAAACTGAACAAAACAATTGATAGGCAAACTTTGGTTTCAATTAGTACAGGTGATTGGTGCTCCTTAACTAAGCACTATGGGTACTACTTACAGCTAATTAAATGGTTATGAGTTTTTTAGATGTTTTGCAAGTGAGATTACAGAGTAAGTATTCCAGGGCAAAACAAGCAGCTATTTTTAAATTCAGATGACAATTTTTTCAGCAGGCTGCACTCTACTGTAACAGCCACAAGTCCCCATTGTGTCTTACAGTTTACATGTTTATAGTAAAACCAAAATCAAGAACTCATGAAAAATTGTTTACAGTGTGTGTTTCTGTCAGAAACTAATTTTTTGCTTGAAGTCTGGGAAGGCTAATGAAGTGTTGTGCAAGATTAACCTCTTTAATAAATGAAAAAAAAAAAAAGCTTTCCTCTTATTTCCATAAGAGAGATATTTTTTTAAAGTTTAAGATTTAAAGTTATTTAACTTAAATGTATAGAAATGTCCGGACAGCTAACAGATCTTGTTACCAACACGATTGCTGATAATTCTTTGTACAAAGCAGTGAGAGTCATCCAAGCTCACTCAAAACTCAGAATCTGATTTCTTTCATCCTCAGTCGGAATGTGGATCAGGGACTGCGAGGGACTCGATCTACTCCTGCGCATTACAACACCCTGAACCGAATGGACAGACACCGTGTCATAGATGACCACTACTCCCCAGACAGAGAGAGGTAAGTATCTGCCTGCAATTAGAAACAGCTGTAGCCTACACACAGCAACGTGAGTAACTTCAGTATGGTAGCTGAAATAAAATTTCATCAATTAAATTAAAATAAATGACATACCTAATCCCAGAAATTATCATTTCTCATTTATCCACATAACGTACATTACAAAATATCAGTGCACATAAAGCTGACAAAATTGTCCAGTGAGTATGTTTGACAGGAGGGAATCTGAAAAAAATCTGTGAGAAAATGTATCTTATAAAAGTTGAATAGATTAGTTGTCCTTTTTTTATAAAAATATTTTTGTGTGTTATATTAGTGAATCTTTTAAGTACTAAATATCTTTTAAATACATCCATCAGTAGACTTGATCATTTTTGCTACTGAATAAAGAGGTATAAAAATAGATAATTTCAGCTCAGTATTAATGCAATACTCTTGTTGGATACAGTGTATTTTATAGATGTAACAAAAGCATATTCTACTGCTGTGTTCTGTTTTTGTCTTTGCTCAACCTTCTGAGACACTTTGAAAAAAGAGAAAAAATGATTAGGATAGCATGTATGAAAGTCTTTGTGTTAAGAGGCACATCTGACTATAACTAATGTTTTGCCTAATGAAACTAACCCAAACAGTAAGCAGAGCTTTAGCAACCTCTATGAATTTTAATAATGTAAAAAAGAATTGCAGCAATAATTGAACAGTGTAGTTAATTTTGCTGAATTAATTGTGGCAATGACTTTGTGGCATTAAAAAAATTATTGGCCTTTTCCACTTCATTGTCTTCAGGTAGAAAATCAAAACAAAAAGCATTTATTACCATTAACTTTTTGCAGTCTTTCAGCTTTTCTGCACCAGTTGGAAATTTCTGCACTTCATAATGACAGGCATAATTGCTAGCTTTTGTCTCATTTTATAATATGCATATGCCAAGGAGTAATAGAGACATGTTTTGTAATCTTGAATAATATATGACGAGTATTTGAAATTAATACCTTTACAGATAGCCATTACAGGTTATTCTTCAAGTGACATCAAAACACATCTTTGTGGTTTCCAACTGTAATACAAAGAATTTGAGAAATTGGTGGCTTTTTGTTAGCAATATTGAACAGAAAAGATTATTATTTCTTAAGAGACCGGTAATGTGATGGTCAATTATTGTATGGAATGCAAGGCTATTTTTCAGAAGATTATGATATTTTAATTTCAGAAGATAAAAATAATAATTAATTTTCCCAAATACTTGTAACAAAAGAAGTATCAAAAGGAATTAAACCCCAAATCTATTCAAAATGATTTGTAGTTTAATTTGGTGAATAAAAAAGTCAAGTGGGCAGAAATAAAGCTAATGAAAAAACAGCATTTATCATTCAGAATAGTAACTGTATTCATAACAAGTATGGTAGATGATAAGTCAAACTCCTTTTTGCATTAAACTAGTTAATATTTCTGTTTAAATTACTGAGAAAAAAAATCTATTCAGTTGATTCATTAGAATATAATTTTCATACAGAAGGCAGTAGCTTGAAGATTCTGAGCTGTTTCCTTAAAATATTATTACAGAATACTTTTGGAATACAATGTTATATTGATTTTTGGGCCAGTCATCCTTGAAACAGGATCTAAACTTGTCCATAGAGCCTGTGTATGCCTTATGGAATGCTGCTGCATTTGCTCACTGTGCAAGTTCATTTGTTGCCTCCCAGAGAAATGAATAGCTGTGGAAGGTTGCTTGAAGTACTGTACCACAATGTTTTTCCTTCCCTTGAGTCAAATAATCCCTGCTGATTTAGAGAAAAAATAATTGGGTTTTTCAGAAAAACAATGTCAGAAGGTTGTTGGAGGTGAGACTATTGAATTTGCATGACCATTCTAGATTAATAGGTGTTTGCTTGATAGGTGCGCTCTGAATCTCTGAACACAGTTTTATATGTTGTCTGTATTTTCCAAAACACACAGGGAAATTCTCCTCTTCACACATGGTGAGTGGCTGCCGGTGTAATCATGTTATTGACTAGTTATACCTCTACTGCAACATGCAGTCTCTGAACAAGAAAAGGCTACTTCCAAATATTTATGATTTTTTTTTTATAGTCATTGTTAATTTGACAGTGATTTTATGCATGGAAGGATTTCAAAATTTTTTAATGAATATTTGTGATACTGTCTCTGCTGTATAATAAAAACCCAGTGGTACCCCTAAAGTAGCTCTTTAATAGTATTGCTCCTGAAAACTTCTGGAACTGCAGGCAGTTGGGGGAAGTTGAAAAACTGCATTTTTGTATAGGTTTGTAATATACATGTTGTCCATACTTGGCTCTGAAAACAAATCACATATCTCCTTCCCACAGCTCTGATGCTTTCTTGTTTCCATGAAACAGCTTTTGAAGCTGCTTGCTAAAAGAGGATTTTGAAATAGTACCATCTATAGACATGCTCAGTTGCTAAGTTAAAGTGTGACTGAGAATATGAATAAGAAAATTCTTTCCTTCCTTTTCTAGATAATTCAACATTGAGCTCTCTAAGGTATATGGCACTGAGGAGTTAAAATCACATACAAAAAGCCTAATGTCCTCAAGTCTAATGGCAATGTAAACATTACTTCAAAATTAGTCATAGTTAGAAGAGGAAATAAAAGTATTTTTAAAAACCTTGAAAGACACATTTTTTTAAAAAAAATTAATTGGAGATAATTTTAATTTCAAATGCCAAAACCTTAAATATGTAAAATATGGCTAAATCATATACTTATTTCTGTATAATGTAAGGGTAAATTTATAGTTTAAATTTGTATCTGCTGCTGTATTAACAAAAGTGTCAAATTGTACTATGTACACTGATAACTCAAAATGAGAAGCCATGTTAGTTTGTTACCTGTATATTTAATATAAATCTACTAGTTAATTGCCATCAAAATGTAAGTTTTTTGTGGGTACTCAAACTCGTACTAAATAGCCTAAATCTTATGAATTAGCCATAATGATTATGACCTAATATGGACCCAAATTCCATGAGACCATTTATCTGTAATGGATAACCTTGTGTCAGGTTGAAATGTTTTAATAAATTCTCTAACACTGACTTTTACCTCACTTGAGAAGCTGAAGCTAATCAACCTATAGAAACTATTGAGAACATTTTGGAAACAGTTGGATTTAAACTCAGAGTTTTATATTTAAACAATCAATACAATTAGGTGAATTAGAGGAAAAATGTGAGAATCTTAGCATAGTTCTAGAAAGAAAAAGACAAACTACAAAACCACCAAACTATATCTGTGTATTTCTTTCTGAAAGGTTTATCACCAGTTAACAATAAACACCAAGACAGTGTGAGAAAATTGTACTCAGGCCCACAACTTCAACAAATCTAGATACTATTTAGCAACAATTAATTTAACTATATTTAATATCCTAGGTGGGTTCTCCCTGAGGAATAAAATTGCTAATGGTGAATTTATCATAGGTATGTTAAACCAGAGCATTCTGAGAATGCCTAACTCAAATGGTCTTGCAGGAGGAATGTATGAGATAGTTCCTAAAGTGTAAGTGTTTTTCTGAAAGGCACTTACAAGAAACAACAGAAAAGGGAAGTTATCCACTATTCATTCATCAAATGAATTTTCAGATTGAATATTGAACACTTTCCATTTGAAAGAGAAAAAGTTGCTACCTGTTTTGTTAACCTAATAGGGCAGTCATAAGCATGGTTATTTAGAGAAATATTGTCCATTATTTTAAAATCACTTCAAAGATGTTATCTGGATGTGCTAGGACTAGTAGGACTATCACACCTGTGCTGGTGTGTGTGTGACTATCACACACTAGAACACTAACACCTTTTAGTGAGAGGAGATTTCATTCACATATTTCAAAACACGCTTGGTTTCTTTCATTCTGTGGAAAACATGGTTTGGATTTTCTTATCATGAATGATGAATGATGAAATACAGGCCAAAAAATTCCATGTGCTATAATCAAACCAGTGAAGACCAAAATAATTCACTACAATGAGCCTGTTATACATTAGCTAAAACACAGTATAAATACCTGCTTCTATTATTTGGCGGAAAATTAAAGGTGGGTAAGAGCAACATAAATTTTACATTTCTAAATATCATCTTAAACTGTGCAGTTGCTTTATCTAAGGGTAGCAGGCTCCTAATCCAATATTTTTATTAAGTAGGCACCAGATTTGATCAAAATAGGAAAATATTTTTTTTATACATTTTCCCATATTAAAACACTGAAAAGAGCAGATTTTTTTTCAAAGTCTTTATTAAATACACAGCTGAATAGTATGTAATTAGGTAGTAATTTATTTATTTAGTTAAATTTTACTATAAAATCATATAAATGCTGATTAAAATACAAAGGTATTGTAAAGTATAGAGTGTTCCTGATGCTTTAATTGGAAAGTTTGGGATAATTTTTTTGGGTGTCAGTTGTGTGTATCATGTGGGTAATGTACCCACATGAGGATATGTAATGTCACTGCTTTGCTTCTTCAAATACCCAGTAAAGCAAAAGAAATGCATGCTGAAAATTTGCTTATAGCTATGTTATAAAATGTTTGCATCAGTTTGAATCTCAATAATTGCAGTGTTTCTTTAAGTTCTTTTTCTCCTTTCAAATCACTGTTTAATTGCACAATTATCTGCACCACCCACCTGGTGCCTCCATGAGTCTGCTGAAGGACGATTATCTCCAGCAGGGATGTCGGAGTAGGAAGGTGGTAAAGAAGAAGCTTTGAGCCAAATTTAAAAAATAAACCGCTGCCACCAAGAGTCACAGATATATTCCCCAGAATAAAATGCATGAAAAAGGAAAAAAACAAAATCAAACCTGTTTTAAAAATAATGCAGTTCTGATAAAAGGCTTCAGTGTTGCATCTTTGGAGCAATGATTTAAAATGCATTATGGGGAGCACTGTGATAATGTGATACTGATTTTCTTATTGAAAGTCATCTTGATTGATTGTGTGTCAGCTCACCAATTCTC